AGTCTCAAGTCAAATCCCAAGTCCTCAAAGAGTTAAAGTTAATGAGATAATTAAGTGACTAATTAAATGATGATTGTGGTTTAGTGATGAACACCTGCTGTTATTGAGAATTACAGAGGATCAGATGTTGATGTTTTATTGGTTAAAATGATGCCACCATCATAGAGATCAGTGTTTGCTTTAGTTGGGCTCTTGACCTTTTTAATAACTCTTTAATAAAGGGGTTTGTTTTTAAGCTATTGCAGTATAGCTTTACAACAAACATTTGTGCATTTGCACATTGCTGAATTTAAAGCTTGAGGAAGCAGCTTACACTTTCTGCATTGAACTCACTTGAGTGAATATTGTGAAGGTGTCTCTCTTTGGTTTATTGACTGACATTCAGCGATTACAGAACTGCAAAGAAGTTATATTAAACAAATACAACCGTAAAGCTTAAATATTGGAATAAAGAGGAAGTGTATTGCTCAGGCTTTTAGACATGAACACTTATCATACAATCCTCAACAGTGGTGACAATAATTATTCATGCTGCAGTGCATGATGGGAGTTTTTACTATGGTGTTACCCAGCATGCATTGCAGCATGAAGCATTTTGTTGATTGTCACCATTGTTGAGATTCATATGCTGGTTCTTGATGTCTGTGTGTGTCTAATTAATTCTGGAGTTCAATATTTCTATGCATTAGGCAGACTTCAAATTCATTCAATATAACCATAAGCACAACACTTTCATTGCATGCTCTAGTTTAACAAGGTCGGATATTCAAAATCTAAACATATAAATGAAAAAAAAAAAAAGAACAAAAAAAACAGCTAGTTCAGATGTTAACAGGTTGGCCACTGATTATTATCTCAGCACATGAAAAAAAAAAAAAACTAACAGCTGTTCACTGCACAGCACACCTTCACAACACAACATGCATTGCTGCAGAGAGAGATCTAATACAAGAAATCAAGGGTCAAGAGCCCAACTAAAGCAAACACTGATCTCCATGATGGTGACATCATTTTAACCAATAAAACATCAACACCTGATCCGCTGTAATTCTCAATAACAGCAGGTGGACATCACTAATGCACAATCATAATTTAATCAGTCACTTAATTATCTCATTAACTTTAACTCATTGAGGACTTGGGATCTGACTCTAGACTTGCTTGTGACTTGAAAGGAATGACTTGGTTCCTCCTCTGGTGAAATCAGCTGCTGAGTTCATGAGTGGCATAAACATATGGCAGGACTTTTACTTTCTGACCCCTGGATTGTCCACCTCTGGCTGTATGGCACCTCTTATGGTTCTACATGGCACCATTTGACAAAGGTGCTTTATAGCACCTGTAAAAATAGGTGCTAAATAGCACTAAAAGTGGTTCCCCTATGATTACAAGCCAAAGAACCACTTTTAGTGCTATATAGCACCATTTTTTTAGAGTGTGTGACAACCAGTAGTGAATACTAAAGTATAAATCAATATTAAATAAATATTTCATTGATGGTCCATATGATTACACTGTATGTCTGATGGGCTAAATATGGTTCATATCTGAATGTATCTTTATATATAAATTCACAACAACATATATATCACTGAAAACCTACAGTGAATATATTTAGGCTACAGTAGATCATGTATCATTACATTGTCCATTTGATCTAATTATGTGTATTATAAATGTTTTAATTCACTAATTAAATGTGTAATGTTAATGTATTATTTAAATAACACATTTATAACACTAATTCAGTTGTCTTCTGTAGGCTATGTAGACCAACAGTGAATATTTACAGATATTTTAATTCGTAGTGCAGATCATCTGATATCTTAATGTAATGCTTATATTTAAATTCACAAAAAAACAATTAGTCAATGTCTATGGACGGGACGGTTATTAATGAAGTTTCGAACGTCGGTTTAATAATTTTGCCGTGTATACTCCGTTCAGCGTCACGTTTCGGGGCGTGGAAATGTCGCCACAGTAACAGACCGGTGTGTAAAACTCGCGGACGTATTTTAAAAATGATTTGCCGCGAACTTTAAATATTTCACATACTTTTGAAAATCCAGCGTTTAGTTGATCCTGATAAGCGCTCATCGTCACAGTTGTAAACACGACAGCTTTCTTCTTTCGTGAGGGGGCTTGGCGTCACGGCATCTTTGTTTCCAGGCGGAACGTTAAAGTACGCGACACACACGTCTCCCGGAAATCCTGTATAATTCAACCAATTCGATGACGACTTCAAAACTCCTGAAGTGTTTCCACTTTTGTGTGCTGTATGCATCAGATGTTCAGCCAACGGTCCGTGGGTATGACGTCTGAGGCTGAGACTATCTACACTCTAAAAATGCTGGGTTAAAAACAACCCAGCACTGGGTGAAATATGGACAAACCCAGCAACTGGGCTGTTTTGACCCAGCGGTTGGGTTAAATGTTTAACCCAACCTTCTGGGTAGTTTTATTTAAATTAAAAATTACTATATTTCTTGCTTAAAATGAACCCAAAATAGGTTGGGAATTAACATTTATCAATATGTTCAATAAATGAACATTTATTAATAAGTTGAAAAAATAATAACTAAATAATAAAAATGTTTTAATTGCTAATTTGTTGCAATTAATTGCTAAATTGCTAATAGTAATACCCATTCTCTCAAGAAAAAAACTCGTAGTCTTGAGCGCAAATGGAGAAAAACTAACTTGGAAGTTTTTAGAATTGCGTGGAAAAACAGTATGTCCAGCTATAGACAGGCTCTAAAAGCTGCCAGGGCCGAGCATATCCACAAACTCATAGAAAATAACCAAAACAATCCAAGATTTATATTTAGCACAGTGGCTAGATTAACAAATAACCAGACACCACCCGATCTAAATATTCCCTCACAGTTTAATAGTAATGACTTTATGAAATTCTTCACTGATAAAATAGATAACATCAGAAATAAAATAACAAATGTAGATTCTACAGCGTATAATACTTCAGCTTCATTCATCACACCAAAAGATAAACTGCAGCGCTTTACAACTATAGGACAGGAAGAGCTAAATAAACTTATCACTGCATCTAAACCAACAACATGCCTGTTAGATCCTGTACCCACTAAATTACTAAAAGAGTTGTTACCTGTAGCAGAAGAACCGCTTCTCAATATTATTAACTCATCGTTGTCTTTAGGTCACGTCCCAAAACCATTCAAGCTGGCGGTTATTAAGCCTCTTATTAAGAAACCACAACTAGATCCTAGTGAACTGGCAAATTACAGACCCATATCAAATCTTCCTTTTATGTCTAAAATTTTAGAAAAAGTTGTGTCTGCACAATTGCGCTCCTTCCTGCAAAAAAATGATCTCTATGAAGAATTTCAGTCAGGTTTCAGGCCCCACCATAGCACAGAAACTGCACTTGTTAAAATTACAAATGACTTGCTTCTTGCGTCAGACCAAGGCTGTATCTCATTGCTAGTTTTACTTGATCTTAGTGCTGCGTTCGACACTATAGATCATGACATACTCATAGATCGATTACAAAACTATACAGGTATTCAAGGGCAGGCTTTAAGATGGTTTAGATCCTACCTGTCCGATCGCTACCACCTTGTTCATTTAAATGGGGAGTCATCTCAATTATCACCAGTAAAATATGGAGTGCCACAAGGATCTGTCCTAGGTCCTCTGCTATTTTCGATATACATGTTGCCCCTTGGTAATATTATTAGAAAATACGGGATTAGCTTCCACTGTTATGCAGATGATACTCAACTATATATCTCAACAAGACCAGATGAAACTTCTAAATTATCTAAGCTAACAGAATGTGTTAAAAATGTAAAAGAT